CCACGCAATTGAGATCAATGACATGCATCAACCAAGTCAGCGAGCCTGACCACCCAATCCCGTTAGTCGCCTCTTACGACAAGCATAGTCGCCTTTTACGACAAGCATGGGTTGCTGAAGACCTATTCTACCTGGGATCCTGTATACAACCTAGTCTGTACCAGGTTGACTTATGGTTGATTGCACGATGACAAACCAGCCAGAGGACACTGCAACCTATCCATCCTACTTCGATGTCTCTGATGACAAGCATCGGTACTGATGAACCCCGAATCCCCACAGGAACAAAAACACTCTGAACTTTCCTTAAAACACATTTGCACACAATCAGCTGTATCAAAGCATGTTTCTATTTTCACCCCCACACAATCCAGACCTGTGTTCAAGCTGGAGCAATTACCATGTTGGCATCAGGAAATTTGTTCCCTATCAAATAAGTAAAGTTTGTACAGGGACAAAGCTTCAGTGTGCGTCTGTGAGTCATTCCACCAACATGGGCAGCTCACATTGGACCATATGAATCACCAACATACCAGGACCATTTTTATGAAGAGAGCCATTTGTAGAAAATTACAGGCCATATAACGTCACTTGACTACACACCCAAAGGGAGCAAGTTCTTGCAGCAAACAATGATAAAGCTAAATTCCCAGTGACTTTATAAGAAGCTAAATATCTTGAGAAGAGCTGACTTTTCCGTACATATGCTAGTACTTTATCTGGGGTAGAATAGGGCTTCAGCAACCCACGCTTGTCGTAAAAGGTGACTATGCTTGTTTTATAGGTGACCAACTGGATCAGGTGGTCAGACTCGCTGACTTGGTTGATGAATGTCATCATAACCCAATTGAATGGATCGATGTTCATGATATCAATGACTGGATTGTGTGGTCCTGACCCGATTATTTACAGACCGTTGTCATACAGCTGGAATATTGCTGAGTATGGCGTTAACAACAAACAAATCAAGCAAGTGATAGAGTCAGTTCCTTGATGAAGATACTAGCCTCTGTACCGAAAAATTGCATTTATAAGATACAGAATCTGTAATGAAACACCAAATCTCTCCTCACCAGCTGTCAACAATGTCTACATTAGAACTACTATTTCTGATTTGCCACTTACAGATATTAAGAACAAATACCCAGTGCTAGTGAAAGGCTTGTCAATTTATGCACTTATCTTAAGAGCTAGTGACCACATAGCCACAACTGGACCTATAAAGATATTTCACTAGACCTTCATCACCAACACACATTAGCCTACTTGTGTTGTTTTGTCATCAAAAGCATGAAAGTATCTGTGTATATTTTGAAAGAAACCTGTCAAGTTGTTTGTACCAGATAGATGAGGTCAGTAGCTTGCAGACAAATAGGAGGTCATCAGGGTGAGTCATGGTCTATATTGTCCAGTTACGAAGACCCAAGCCAGGCCACAGACTTAGTTGTCCTGCTGATCACATGCCTGGCATTATCAATACAGCAACTGTGACCACAAATCCCTCATTCAGTATTTCATATATTTCTTTTTTTGTCTGTTTCTTGTTCAAACCGCAATATTCTAGCCATGTGGCGGCAGTCTGCAAATAGTCAATTTTGAACCAGACAATCCAGTGATTGATATTACTGTCTGGGTAAGTTGACACGCAATCAACAAAGTCACTGAGTCTGACCACCCAATCTATTAAGTAACTTCTTACGACAAGCATAGGTTGCTTGGGACCAGTTCTAGCCCCGGAATCCCCAAGGAATCCTTAATTTAGAAAGTCATTACATACCAGATGATGTTCTGGGGAATCACTATGCCCCAATCTCCTATTTGACTATCTATATTATTTCGCTAGAGAACAGTCTGTTTGGTAACTAAGTTCTTGTTACTTATCCAGCATATATTAAGGTGCACTCATTGTGACAATTACGCCTTAATTTGAACATGATGTACTATTGCTCTTTCGGCCAAATATACGAATAAACTGTCTGTCTGTATGTCTGTCTGACTATGCCCTAACATAAGTGACTGAAAAACCATTTTTAGATGTTAAATGTTTAATTTTGTTATAAGTTTCTTTAATCACTTTACTGATTTGTCTGTTTGATAATAAAATTACTTGTCTGTAGACCCAAAAAATAGTTTTTAAAAATCTGTACCGAAACTCATCCATGTTTTTAATCAAGATAAAATTATCTGGCACACTTTCAACAGATAATCCCTTTGTTCTATGCTAACAGTTGGAAGGCAGGTGCCCTAACTTGGCAAGGACTGTGCTAAGTCATTAAGCATATCACTTGCACAAACAAGCAATGTTTATATAGTTTCTGCATGGCATCCTGCAGCAGCCATCATAGTGGCAAGCACCTAGTCAACACAGGCAGTTGTCACTTTGAACATGCTTCCAAGATGAAGTGTAAACAAAGCAGGTACTTCATCAGGTGCAAGACTCAGCCACCAGTGTGTGAATTCCAGTTACGATCTATATGAAGGTGGTCACAAAACTTCCACAGCATGTTAGACAATTAAATTTCCCAACATTTCAGTCAATTCCAACATGCATAAAACATCTGATCTTCCTGGAAACTCTGCTTGTTAGGTGTGGAATCCTACTTGGATGTAGCTTCCAAAACAAGTTTGAATATTCCAGTTTACTTAAATATTCTTTGTTGACAGTGATTTCTTAGTCTGTATTCCCCCAAGTCAAGGATGATTTATAAATATTTTTATTATTCCTTCACAAGTGAGCATTTTTGTCTTGATGGATAAATCATATCCACAGACTCAGAATTTCAAACACGTGAAATAAATTTTACATATCAAGAACAGCAATAATTTTCTTGTCATCTGTTAACAATATATTTTGTAAGTACATATACATGTAGTAACAACTTCAGCGTTAATCATATTGGAAGGTAAGCCTCACTGCCATTTCATTCAAAGAAATCCTTCAAAGAAATTGTGTTTCATTACATTAATTTTCATATCGGTTCCAACCAAAATCTAAAAAAGATCACTTCAAGAAAGCATTGTCTGTCATCTAACCATAAAACCGTAAGTTTTACAAACTGTATTGTAAACCAAGCACATAAAACTAAAGGCCTAAGCCTCCCCTACACATCTGATATAAAGGTTGTATACATGTGGTGCCCTCCCCCTCACGTTAAAGCTGTGGACATGTGGTTCTCATATCTGGCACCAGTACATAAGTATTGAATTACCCCAGGTGATACGGACCTATATCTGCCTATCAGGTCTTACATTAGGGGTTTTGGTGTGTGCTATTAGCTTTCTTACTTTCAGTTATATAACTGTTGTTTCACATTCCAACCTACATTGCTATGCTACTTCCATTAGGCCAAACATTATAATTTTATATTTCATGGATTTATTCCAGCTTTTTTCGGTCGAAATAATTCATTATTTATTATTTATATGAAAGTAATTCTGCCTTGGAGTTAAAACTTCAGGTTGCCTCTTGAATCACTGAAAGCGATGTAGACATAGAATTTATATATATGTAACATTTAATATTGCATAAGAGAGCCTATATTAATAGCGGGAGACATAAAAAAATACATATTTTTATGTTAAATTATTACTTAGGCCGGCTGCTTTTCAGTAGGGTGGCAGGCCTGTGAAACGAAAAATAAAAGATGTGTGGCCTTAGGTGAGTCAATAAGTTGAGCCTAATGCTGTTTCAACTTGTATTTCAGTTCTTTCAATGTTTTTGCTAAATGCTGGAAGAAAACCCAAACTGACACCACAAAGATGTTTACAACCTTCTTAAAACCCATACACAGTAGGATCCTGACACCACTAAGGGAGACAACACGACACATCAAATTTCCACACACATTTGACCACTGAGCCACCTGCGCTCTCCCCTGACTGAATACACCCCGAGGTCCCCAACTTCAAAGTGATGCCGGTGTATGATCACCCCCTTGTTCCTGCCTCTGAAGCCAGCCCATCAAGTTGAAGAGAAGCCTCAAGCACAATTGGCCACCATCCAACAATAAGCATCCAGCCATGAATGTCGACTAGACAACCCTGAACCTAATCAAGCTAACTGATGTATTTATTAGAAGGTACCACACACCTACCCCTTGTATTCATACATAATAAACACTGCCGTGTACACCTCCAAGAAACACAAACCAGGGATTATATGGTAATTATGTCCCAGGTTCCTTGATAACACTACACGTGCTGCTGATATATTGCAGTTATTTCTCTATACCACGCAGGGAATATGCCTGTTCTAGTCCTGACAAGGGTTATCGGGATGTATCAGTTATGAGAATGTTATTTGTGGGATTTTCACATTGCCATGAAATACCTATCATACATTATAGACTGAACAAGATCTTCAACAAGCTATAACTATAGTGTGTAAACAGTGATGTAGGGATCTTGTTTATTACATCTTCAGTCAAGGTTTACAAAACCTGAGATTATTAAAATATGGTACCCTACAAGTAAGTGTTTTTTAAAGGTGTTTTAATGAGAAACTGTACTTTGTGTTGAGTGAGTGAGTGAGTATGGTTTTACGCCACTTTTAGCAATATTCCAGCAATATCACGGTGGGGGACACCAGAAATGGGCTTCACACATTGTACCCATGTTGGGAATCGAACCCAGGTCTTCGGCGTTACGAGCGAACGCTTTAACCACGAGGCTACCCGACCACCCCTCACATTGTGTTGAGGTTAAGCATCTAGCTTTATTTATTTACTTGGTGACATCAATACGTATCTATTTATTTTTTTATCTATCCATTTTATCAAACTTTCGACAACAAAATAATTGTCCCTGTAAGCCTGTGTGTGAAATGAATACAATGGTGTACAATCCAAAATCTTGTCTCCGTGTTGTTTTTATATTTTGGAATTTACATGTAAGGTAAAGGAGCTAATCCCACCTAGATGTTGTGAACAAGGAAGACATTGTTTTATAAACAATACAGTCAGGGAAACAGTGTGACACAGTGTGACACAGTGTAGACTTACGTGGGTGACTCCGACCCGTATCTCCCTGTTGACACTGCCAGTGCCTTTGATCATCTCTCCGGCAGTAGACCCCTTCAGGAAGCCAATCCCCCCTCGGAGGAACCCCGCTGCTAGTATGTTTAGCACATCCATCAACTTTACTGATCGCCCTCTCACTGAAATAAATATATTATGTTATAGAGCATATCATCAAAAAGTTCTAAAATGACCCAAAACACTGGTGTACATACAATTACATAACCTAGAGTGAGTTGGGACTTACATATTATGCTATATACTGGTGAGAGAGTTTCGTTTGGCGCACCTTTTAGCAATATTCCAGCAATAGCACGTGAGGCTTCACCAGAATGGACTTAACACATTGTACCCAAGTGGGGAATCGAACCCAGGTCTACGGCATGACAAGCGCATGCTTTACCCACTAGGCTACCCAACTGTCCCATATTGCTAAGGGAAGAACGAAGCATCTATTTTTTATGTTACATTGCCATTAAGAGATTACAAACATTCAACATTTAAGCTTCAGTGCTCTTTGAGTAGAACTGTTAAACTGAGTGAATGAGTATTGTTTTACGCCGCTTTTAGCAATATTCCAGCAATATCACGGTGGGGGACACCAGAAATGGGCTTCACACATTATACCCATGTCAGGAATCGAACCCGGGTCTTTGGTGTGACGAGTGAAGGCTTTAAGCACTAGGCTACCCGACCACCCCAACTGTTAAACTGAGACAGGTTGGCATCCCTGCCTTGTTGCATGGTTGAGCTACCTTGTGGTTGTCGAGGTGCTTGTGCTGTGGCCATCAGGTTGCCGAGGAGCTTCGCAACAGCACAGCGGGTGTCATAGTTGGAGCCATCAAGTGCTCGGAAACAAAGGGAGGCCACTGTTTCCAGCTCGTTGGTGTACATAAAGGGAGCCTCATTGACCAGTTGATACATGCACTGAAACAAAAAACAGATGAATACAAAATCGGTTATAGTTTGTTGTGGTATTTGATACACTAACCACCTGCTAGCATTGTTTTTATTTCGGTTTCTTAATAGCAACTTTCAATCTGATATCATGAAAGAATATGATGGCAGTCTGTAAAAAAATCGAGCCTGGACCAGAAAATCCAGTGATTAAGATCATAAGCATCACTACATGGAGTTGGGATACGATGACATGCAATCAACCAAGTCACTGAGTCTGACCACCTGACCCATTTAGGCACCTCTTATGACAAGCATAGGTTCCTGGGGACCAATTCGAACCCGAAATCCTCACGTGTAGTTGGCTTAGTGTGGGAGAAAATTACACATGTACCAATGAGGCCAAATGTCCGAGCATGTGTATGGTGCTGACAAATCAAGGAAGATAATGAGGGTAATTCAGGGTTTCAAACCATGGGTCAGCAGATCCAACAGATGTACGCAACACACTGTTAATTCAAATACATGTATTCCTATTAGCAAATTCTGCTTTAAATTCTCTGTTTATCTACACAGAATGAGTGTCAGACAAATTGACCTTGTGTATATATATATTACTCAAAAGAAGTTAAGGATCAGCCAATTTCTTTTTTTATTTAAGTTTAGTAACATGAAAGAATTGGGTGACCCTTACAATGTTTTTTGAGTTGTATATATTTACATTATTGGCCATTATTCATATTGCAATATACATATCTTATCATTCTGGTCTGGAATATTTCTTGGGTATTGCTTTAAGAATATTCTTTATTCCTGAACTGTTTTTAAACATTTAATAAAAGCATAATTCCGGATGTGGACAACACAGAGTGGGTGTACATGCTACCACAGGCGGCATATCTAGGAAATGAAGCATCGTTCACCAGGAATGTGTATACATAATGGCCCCGCCAGACTGGGCTCTGATTCACACTAGCCACATGTATGTATGTGTGCAGACTATAAATACATATACAGGAAGACTCCTTGATAAATAAACATCATTTCATCACAATTACAAGCACAGCACATCCACATTTCGGTAACAACCTCGGAGTGGACGGACCAGAGAGATGTGACTCCCAACGATCAGTTCAAGACAAATACACCATGGTGGATGAAGCCTACAGGGCTCATCTAATTGAAACCACCTAGAACAGGCATACCAACAAACATATACTGAGGTTGTGGATGTGGAGGGGATGTACTTTAATGTCTTGCTGAGCAAGATGGGGAAAGAATAAGAAGTATAGATCACTATATTAACTTGGCACAGTTACACTGCTGGGATCATGGGGGATGTATGTAAACAAGAGGGTTCTATTCTGTAAGCTTACACAGCTTAGAGGTAGGCTAACACTTGGTTTCTGAGAATATATAATTTCTCTTTTTTTTGATTGAAATGAAAAACTCCATTTAAATTGAAAAGGAGACCCAGTGAGATAGGAGAGAGAACCTGTGGAAAATCTAGACTTGCTTCATTTAGGTCTATATCATCACAGTTAAGGCTAGGAGGAAGGGAAATAAATTCGGTTCAGGGACGGTGAGACTGACAAAGCTTCAAGGTAGAACCTTGGCTTTTATACTTCATTTCAAAAGATACACCATTTGTCAAAATCTTAATCCTGGTAACCTGGCTTCCCCACCAATTATTTTCACAAACTAACAATTACACTAAATTTCAATTCCCTGCTGAATGCAACAAGGCCTGCAATACTGAATGTGATTCCCTAACCTTTCTTGCTAGCCTTTCTACCAAAGATGCTAATCCTGGAATTATCTAAGATCCCAAATATTCCATTTGTGTAGCTTGCAGTATCTTCCATCAGTCACCTAGACTAACATTTAGTCTATGAAATCTTATATTAGACAATACCCTTCTTGACTGTAAAAATAAAAAAACAAATTTTCCCTATGCTGATTTAGAGCTAGCTAGAGCTGGCTAGACTCGCTTTTGTGTATGTTTCTAGATTGTGTTGTTTTTCATAAAATAAATATATTCCAGTCATGGTGCAGACTTTCAGTCACCCACCTTGTTTAAACTATGATAAAAATAATGTGTATATCCTGTCTAAAAACCATAGCCAGGATTTATTTTGCCTCATTATATGTTATTGAAATTTTATGGAATATTTTCGTTGACCACCATATGTTTACGCCCATCGTTTCGATCAGAATATAAACAAATTATCAACCTCCAACTCAGCAAACTTCTTTGTTACACTATGATGAAACATAGAATTCAACATTTTTACAGAACATGATTGTTTGTTATTTCCCCTTTCAACAGGCCTTTATGCATCTTATCACACCAATCTCATCTTGCTGAGTCAGCAATCCAACACTGAAGACAACAAACCCTCTCGACCAATATAGCAACCTGTAGCATCAAACAGGAAACTCTGGCAGAGGAATACCAGCTGGTAATCTCTGTCCAACTATCTCCCGTTCTCATCCCCTATGTTCTGTCCCGTTCTGCTCACTTTCATTTCATGCATATTCCTTGTCCTCCATTGTGGCACTGTGTTAGCCCCAGAACACACGATACCATAAAAGTAGAAAACATGCCAAGATTGGTGAAATTTTTATTCACTGAATGACATCCACTGTGCCTTTGAAGATATTTTTACTGAAGTTGCTATGTATGATTTACCATAGAAACGTCTCCACGGGACAGGTGTGTGAGATATTGCACCACCTGATGGAGCGTGATGCAGCGAGTCAGTGGGGAGCATCATGGTGTACGGTGCATGTCAGCTGTAATTAGCAGCACCAACACACTGCACGTAGGCCTCTTATAGCTAGTCGCAGATGTAGGCCTCTTATAGCTAGTCGCAGATGTAGGCCTCTTATAGCTAGTTGCAGATGTAGGCCCCTTATAGCCAGTTGCAGACGTAGGCCTCTCATAGCTAGTTGCAGACGTAGGCCTCTTATAGCTAGTTGAAGATGTGGGCCTCATATAGCCAGTTGCAGACGTGGGCCTCATATAGCTAGTTGCAGACGTGAGCCTCATATAGCTAGTTGCAGGCGTGGGCCTCATATAGCCAGTGGCAGACGTGGGCCTCATATAGCCAGTGGCAGACGTGGGCCTCATATAGCCACTGGCAGACGTGGGCCTCATATAGCCAGTGGCAGACGTGGGCCTCATATAGCCACTGGCAGACGTGAGCCTCATATAGCCAGTGGCAGACGTGGGCCTCATATAGCCACTGGCAGACGTGGGCCTCATATAGCCAGTGGCAGACGTGGGCCTCATATAGCCAGTGGCAGACGTGGGCCTCATATAGCCAGTGGCAGACGTGGGCCTCATATAGCCAGTGGCAGACATGGGCCTCATATAGCCAGTTGCAGACGTAAAGGACAATTGTAAAAGGAGATATTACACTGGCTTACCAATATTTCACCATATTAGGAGACACCAAAAATTATCTTCAAACATTACACCAATGTGGAGAATGAAACAAACGTTTGGCATGACAATCCAATGATTTAACCACTAAGCTAACTTGCTGGCAGAAGGTTAAAAAAAAGATCAGACTTAAACAGGCACTGTTCATCTTCAGGCTCCAATGTAAACCATGGATAACTACACCATAACACTTCGGGCACTTCTGCCAAACAATTGGATGTTATTTCTGGGAGAAAAAAGTTGATATATAATTGCTTTAGGAAAAACACATCAGTGAAACGTGACTCTAGAAGCAACACACACACATGAGATGTCCATGCAGTTCCTGAATTCATCCTGTCAGTATCTTCCTGCCTTCTCTGTCAGAAGACAAATACACATCTCCACAGAACTCATACACACAATATGACACACCAACTTCAATCTAACAAATCTACATCTTTGGATTGTGTCCAAGTGCAACAAAATGGTACTCTAAAATGGTTTAAGTCTGGTCTTGAAACATCAAAATACATGATTTGTCTCAAGCCAACATCAACACAGATCTCGTCAGGGACGTAAAAACTGGGCCATTTGCAGATACTGGTACAACATGTCCTTCACAAAACACAGCTGCCTCACCATGCACATATTGATAAAACTAAGACAAACTAAATAATTAAGATTTATACAACATATTCTACTGATTATTACTGTTATTGGGATTCAAATGTGGGAATCAAACACAGGACTTAACTGTGACAAGCCACCACTTAACCACTAGGTTATCCTACTGTCCTGTTTTGCCTAGAAAAGTATGAAAGTAGTCTGTCTCACAGTCCCTGAACCATATTATTTTCCCTTCTACCCAGCCCTTACTGTAATGCTATAGGCCGTAATGAAGCAAGTCTAGATTTCTACAGGTTCTGAATCTCCCATCTCCCTGGGCTCCATTTCAATTTGAATGTAGCTGCTTCTTTCTATCAACATTTATTATTTTTCAGAGACTAAGCCTTAATCTTGTTTGAAAGGTATGATAACAGTTACTACTTTCTTTTATCCAAAAGAGTGTCAGAATGATTGAATAATGATTAATGCCAGAAATATTATTGTCGCTAAATGGCTGAAATATTTCTGATGCCAGTTTAATGATTGAATAATGACTAATTCCAGAAATATTATTGTTGCTGTATGGCTGAAGTATTTCTGCTGTCTTTTATGTACCAGTTCGGTTACTATCAGCAATACAACTGCCTGAAGACTCATGGCAGCCTGTAGTATACATTCAAGTATGGAGCTACAAACCAGTGGTCAACAGTGTGAGCACCTGTCTGTACCAGGGTTTCATTCACAAAATGGTAGTTGCTATGCAAGAGCTATTCCTGCTCACCAACCATAATGGCCACCCAATGTTCATTGGGTCACCGCGCAACAAGCACACCATACTGGGTTTGATGGTACCCTGGAATACCTAGATGATAAATACCTGGGTATCATTAGACAAATAGTTACTCTTGTCAAGGTCAAGGACAAGGCCCCGAGGACCCGACACCTGAGGTGGTCTGACTTGACCGAGGCCACAGACCATTCAGACCAAAGAAGG